CTAACAATGTAATAAGTAACCAAGTTTAATCACTTCAACCTTTCTATACCACAATGAATTTTTTTTTTATTTCTAGTTGTTATCTCATTTATTACAAAATATTCAACTTACTCCACCAGATAATGCACCAGCAAATAATGTAAAGGTGAATGTGGGGTATTCTTGCTTCATTAACTTTTTCTGCTTCTCGTACGTATACCAGTATAATACTGTAATAAAGAAGAGGAGATATGAAATTATTATTTTTTTAAATCCCAAGAAGTTATAAAATATGACTTTTATTATGTAACCATACTTTTTTGGATATCATAAAATTTGAAGAGAGATTTGTTGGGCAAAGCAGGGAAAGAGAGAAATAGGAAAAGGTAGAGAGAGAAAACACAAAAAACAGAGAGAGAATGAGTGAATAAGAGTGAAAGAATCAGCAAGAAAAAAAAAATAATAAAAAAATAAAAAATAATAATAATAATAAACAAATGAAAAATAACCGAAAGAGTGGAAGAATTAGAGAAAAAAAAAAGAGAATGAGTGCATGAGAGTGAAGAAAGGCCATTTCAAGCAATTACCCTGCCTGAGACCTACTTGAAAATGGAACATCTCGTAGGATTGTGGGAACCCATCCCCGCCACAGGCTCACAACTCCTTCCCTTGCTAGTTGTGTTCGTAGGACTTCTCCCACTTCTGTGGAAAGACAAAATAAAAATCTTATATTCCTGAACACTTTAATGAGTTTTCATGAAAAATCGATTGAAAAATATCTATAAACAGAATTTTACATTTTTAATACACAAAAATATTGTATCATATTTAATCCACTCTTTATTTTTTAGTTTCTTATGACGGACTTTTATTTACCTGTATTACTGTTACATACCTCTATATGACATACTCTTCGCTTGCATCTTTGTTCTGACGAGCTCAAAGGGAGAGACTAGTGTCACAGCCCAGACCCTTGCAAGACCTCCCGCCAGCCCTCCTGCCCATGAGGGTGGACCTCCTGCTTCTTCTGGTGCAAACTGATGGAATTTCGCACGCAGTTGCTCATAGGAGGTGAAGTATATGACGGTGTTTGGTACAGCTACGACTAGTGTGGGTGGAAGTCCAGACCAAAGGGACTGAATGCCTTCCTGTCTAGATATCTTGACAAATGCATCCTGAAAAATGATTTTGTTTTATAGTTACGCAAATTATAATAAATCATTGCCGAAAGTGCACAAAAGCTCTTGGAGGGTGATGAGACTATCTTGCATTATTCATTTCAGTACATGAGTGTGGAAAGTACCATTCATGAGCCAGGGCTGGAAGAGCACCAGCTCCAGGGAAAAGATTATTTCTAAGCAGTGCAGATTGTATTACAGAAGACTGAATATTACAATTTTTTTTTAAAGACATATATAACGATATGTTACTTACTGCTATCATTATTACACTAAATTATAGAGATTGAAAGATGATATGGAGTCTGTGCAAGGAAAATAATCTATTACTGTCTGGATAAAACACGTCAATTGATAAATATAGACATTAAGAAATGGCCAAATGATGAAGCAGTAAAGTGGAAAGGTCTTCAACATATTCGTGTGATTTCCTGTATTTTCCTTATGGAATTAATGTCAAACAAATTGCAAGTAGAACAACACGAGTGTGTGTGTGTGTGTGTGTGTGTGTGTGTGTGTGTGTGTGTGTGTGTGTGTGTGTGTGTGTGTGTGTGTGTGTGTGTGTGTGTGTGTTTGTGTGTGTGTTTGTGTGTGTGTTTGTGTGTGTGTGTGTGTGTGTGTGTGTGTGTGTGTGTGTGTGTGTGTGTGTGTGTGTGTGTGTGTGTGTGTGTGTGTGTGTGTGTGTGTGTGTTTGTGTGTGTGTTTGTGTGTGTGTGTGTGTGTGTGTGTGTGTGTGTGTGTGTGTGTGTGTGTGTGTGTGTGTGTGTGTGTGTGTGTGTGTGTGTGTGTGTGTGTGTGTGTGTGTGTGTGTGTGTGTTATATATATGTATGTATGTATGTATTTATGTATGTATGTGTATGTATATATACATACATGCATATATACATATATATGTACGTATGTATGTGTGTGCGTGTGCGTGTGCATGTGCGTGTGTGTGTGCGTGTGCGTGTATGTGTACATATATGTATATGTATATGTATATGTATATGTATATGTATATGTATGTATATATATATATATATATATATATATATATATATATATATATATAAATATAAATATAAATATAAATATACATATACATATACATATACATATACATATACCTATACCTATACCTATACATATACATATATATACATACATACATACATACACACACACACACACACACACACACACACACACACATACTTAGGAGAATTAAAAAGAAAAT